CAACGAAAGCCGAGGAAAAAATAAGAAGATGGTGGTTTCCCCATGAAACCGCGTCACAAAGGGTTAATGTAGTGTTTGTGTCTTCCCAAAGGCACAACAATCGCGAATATATACATTTTGTACAAATTTGATGCCTTGAAGATCCTGTAAAATACTTTCTAGCTGAGGAATAGCCTATTCAAGTGAAAGAATCCCTCATTTATCTAGGCCCAACCTCGTGGCCTAGAGTACTCAAATGGAAGAAACGCAAATGGTTGGGTGAGCCAGATGAACAAGGTGAGGCAGAATTATCCCCTCATGAAAAGTCCTTATAACCGAAGGAACTATTCGGATCTCTCAAGGTACTGTTAAAAAGCCAAGAAGTTGTTCTTCAAGAAGTCAATTTTCCAGTCGCACTTCCTCACAATGATCGCAATTGCAACAGGGGGAAAGTAATCGTGACGATAAGAACTCTGAAGAAAGTTATTTTACCAGTCATCTGTACAATGCAAATAGCGAGCTGCTCATATGTGAAGTCCCCACCATTGACCATAGCAGATGCAATATGAAGAGTGTAGACACTTGGATGGGCGCGCCAAACGAGTGATTTTGGGCAACATCGCCACCTCCCTAAGTGTCATTTGAAATCAAAGAACTGGAAGAGGTCCAAGTACATGCTCCTGACAACTCTACGGAAATTTGCATCACGTTGATCAAGGAAACACCCGTTGGGAAAACAGAAATAGGGAGAAAACGATGCCCTTTGAAAAATATTTTCAAGTGTATAGCTGAAAATAAATGCATAGAAATGGATGAACTCCCAATCCAAGGAATCCACATTAATATCTTCGAGTGTCGGTATGGAAAAAATAAAACATTGCCAAGGGAGTGGGCGAACCTGATGAAGAATTTGAGAATGAGTATTCAATTGTTGATGATATTTTGATGAGCCCAATGAAAGAGGCGATAAAGCCCTCTGTCAGTATCATGGAAACTTTAATGAAGTCCACATCAGGCGATGAGATGAACTCAAAACTTGCTGGGTTATTTCAACTGACTGAAGATATGAAATTGCTATTTGTCTCCATTGTTTTTCTTTGGGAGATTCACCACGCGAATAAAAATGCAGGCAGTCAATTAGACATATTAGACACGCATTAGAGGTGTCCAAGGAACAAATTTTGCCTCACGAAAGCGAGCATGCAGAAGTTGCTGAAGAGTCGAGTGAAAGTAAAACTACTAGTCACATTCATGGAATTAAATAAACTGTTCGCCACCCTCAAATTTGTGTGCTTGGTATACATCAACTTAGCAAGAAAATTACAATGATCTCAGGTTACCAGATCTTCGTCACCTTCACTTGGATCATGCCGAAGGATATTTTTGGCCCTTTAGCTCTGAAGATCCCAGGAAAGTTGTATGCAGAACTCAACTGATTATGTGGAAGGGTCAGAAACTTAATGGCTCATGTATTCAATGTCAAAAGTAAGTGTATTATTTTTCTTCATATTTTCGTGCAGAAAGTCGTCCAAGGATAACATTTTTTTGCTTTTACGGTAACTGCGGAAAGGCTCTCCCTGTATTGAAATAACAGAGATTGACATGCATAGGTGACCATGAATTCAGTCAACGTCTATTGCAATGGATATTGCATTTTTTTGTAGATGTAGGCATTTATTGGGATTCTCTTGATATTATGCCCCATATTACACTACAACTAGCATATCCGTGGAAAACTTCCACGAATTTCGGGTCGGCCCAGGCCATGGGTGTAAAACTTCCGGCCCTCTAGTCAATTTTGTCCGGCCTGCAATGTCCTCTTCATTTATTTTGAAAAGCAAAGACTTTTAAAACCTGTTAGCAATTGAAACTTTCGCGTAAGATTTGCCGATGTGGATTCAACCATCCAGGAAGGGTTTCATCCGGCCACCAGCTTAATCATGTTTGACATCTTAGGTCTAGGCTAAGCGTGTAGCAGTCAGGGCCGTAGAAAAGAATTATGACGCCTGGGGCAATATTCATGTAAGGGCCCCCTTTCTACTCTACCCCACTCCCCCTTACTTTAAAGACATTCAATCATCCCTTCAATGCAAACGAACACTATGCAACTGAACAATACTACATACGAGGGATTTCTCAACAGTTCTGCCAGTAGCCCACAAGTCGTCATCGGAAGCGGCCACAAAGTCCTACTTTAAGGCTACTGGCAGAACTTTTGAGAAATCCCTCGTATATCATACGGTGTGGGGACCCATCCCTAGCCTGGTATCCCTGGGATAATAGCCCCTCCCCCCCCCTCCCTCTCTACAGTCCTGAACATTGTCGAAAATCCACGAGTTAAGTCAGCGACCCCTTGAACACATTATACGTCTTGCGCAACCCTCTCCCTTCCCTACCCTCGAGGGTGTTCACACCTACGATACGGACTTTATTGAACGGTACTCTTATCCTGTATCCATCGCGTCCTTGGTGGAGATGGACTCTACCGACGATACACATACTTTTCTTGTACGCCTATGAGTGGAAAATACGCTGGAGAAACGGGATAGTTATTACGTGGCCGAGGTATCTTTTCTACCCAAGGATATGAGCTTTTGATCAATCCCAACCAGATGGAATCCCACCACTTTTACCCTGGAGAGTTACTCTCCTTGTGAGAATGCCGATCAATGCGAAGACGGGGTTCCGATCGGTGAAGGGGCCGAGGGGCCGAGGGGCCGAGGCCCCAATGAGGATAGGTGGGGAAATCTCATCCCGGCGAGGGAGTCATTCTTCTTCCAGCGGGATGATAGGCTACTCAACGTATTATAAGGGGGGGCGTTTTACACGTCCCCACGGGAAAGCCAGCATCAATGTTTGAACACCCCTGCGTAGGGTTAGAGTAGGTGTGTAAGACGTACAAGTTCTCTCTCGCCCATTCTCGAGATAGGATCTGACAGATACAATGACCAAAAATAAAGTGCGAGATCTGGAGAGTGAGACAGATACCCAGCGGAAGAATTGAAGCAGATTGAAGAAGGCCGCGCGCATGGCACTTAGACGTCCAAACATGGCCAGTCCATCACGTAATGGCATAAAACGAAGGATTTTTTCTGACTTCATTTTAATGGCTATATGATGTACCGCAGGCAAAAAGAAATGTAATTTTCGTCGCACACATGTCTATCTTTCGTTTGATGGGTCACTCTCCTCCGAAAACTCAAGATTAGCCCCAGGAGGAAGAGAAAAAAGAAACAAACAATGAAATTCACATCTGCTAAAACGAATTTCATTGATCTCCGCGATTTCAATTAGATGGAATTTCAACTTTTTCTGGATGATTCTGTGCTGAGAAAGGGAGATGAATGCCATATTTTGATCATGTTGATGCTCTCAGAGAAGAATACGAAGAGGTTGAATTTCGTTGCGAGAAGGGGCTAAAGAAAAGTTATAAGCACTACCGGAGCGGGTGATTGGAGAATCATTCCTTATCAACAGGGGCCTTGATAAGGAATTACTCTCCAATCACCCGCTAGCGTGCCAATTGACACATCTGGTTTATGACCTGGGCAGCAAGAAATAATGTATTGAGGCTGCATACATCTAAATGCGTCTACAAATGCGGAAAATTGCGCCGAATGACACGCTTTAGTATGCCGAGGTTCATGACACATTGTGTCCCCTCGGCGACGGCCAGGACACCCGTTTCTGTCATTAGACACACTGAAAGTTTTCGGCGAAATTTCCCGTGACGAGAATCGATGGGGGCTGTGTATTGTAAATAGCCGCAGAGAAGAGTGGAATCCTGGTTCATCTGCTAAGTTATGTAAAAGTTCAGTAGTCTTAGGAGAGAACAGCCGGAATAAGGAAAGCCAAAAGAAGCAGAAGTTCTAAGACTGTCCCTACACCATCCGTAATTTTTTTTGTAAATTTGTTTCTTTTCTGCTTTCCTTATCTGAACGACTTCATGAAGTTGTAGGAATATCGGTTTAGCGCTACAACCACCTTTTTACCAGCTGGTCTTCTCTTTTTGACATACATAGTTTTTTAATTGGGAAGTTTATCAAATATGATTGCTCATCTCTCTCATTATGTTGGAGTTATTTTTCTAACTCATTTCTAATATAGGATATGGAAAGGGGTTATGCATGTGCAGCATCCGGTACTTGCAGAGCAAAATCGGCCTCTAGTGATTTTGCCTTCGGAGCGGCCTTACCAGCTAATCACGACCATATTAGTTTGAGGATGGCCATAGATAACACATTGGAGTCATGAGAATTGTGGACTACATTGAATCACTCGATCCGAAGGGACTCTCTCCTTAGGTTTCTCTTTTGCTGTTCGTGTTTTGCTTTCGATTTATGCAATCAGGTAGGGTGTTTGAGTGCGCGTGAGTTAGTGGCAATAATAAAATATGAGAATGAGACGAGATATGCTTGAAAGACGCGAAACTATATGGTATGAAAATATATGTAAAAAGATGCCTCGTATATACCACGTTGCATGTCAGCCAGAATGTTCATGACTGAACATTTGACATGGAACTCAATATTGCGTGAACCAAAAGTCCTGGCACACACGTAGGTTGGCATATTTATTTCATTATCCTAAGAATGAACAACAAACTTAAAAAAGAAAACTATAAATTTTCCATGATCACAAATGTGTTACTGTACAAAAACTATGAAGTCAGACCATTTTTATCGACTTTAAAATTTTTCAAAGCGAAAAAAATACTAATGGACTTTTGGGTCACCCGATACAAAGTGACTTTTTTCTCGTCGCTGAAAATGAGGTTTTGATCCTGCTGATTGAACATTTGTCGTATCGAAAATTTGCTTTCATTTGCAGTGCCATAAGTGCATACTTACATATAATATGGTTTGGGCGTGAAGTACCGCCTCGTTTTTTTTTTTTGCTCCGGTATGCATGACCAATTAATTCTTGTCATCTTCATCCAGATAAATTGAATTATATTCCTTGTCGATGGTGGAAGTTCTCCCTGATTTTCCTTGAACATGTAGAACATGTTCATTACAAGAATGACTGGTGAATCTAAATGCTTCGGAGATGCCAGCTTGGTGGAACGAGATGTTGAACGATATCTCACAGTACTGCTTCAAGATTTAATTAGTGTATTTCTTGGAGATTTGACTGAAATAGTCCATGAATTTAAGGTTGAAAGAATGCTTGTAGATTTCGATCAAAGAATGGATGAAGATTTGGTTCGAGGAATGGTTGAAGATTTGATTCAAAAAGTGATGAATCAGTTAATTGAAACGACGGTTGAAAAGAGTATCGGTTCCCAGTGGCTGAGGGACGCAAAGGATTTTGTTGGAAGCACGTTCCCGAATCGGGAGGAGGCGATTCAAGCCATCCCACCAATCGGTGATGGAATGCAATCATCGCTTGTCTCTTTCCTCCTGGAGATGGGGAAGAAACGCGGAGAGTCAATGTTCATCGTCTACAATCGAAACATGAAGCAGTTAATGAAAAGTCGTTTCTATGGTGGACTATACGAGGGATATGAACTTATTGAACCATCCGATCACGACATAATCATCATAGATCGGCTCCGCGGTTTCTTCTTCGTGAAAGTGATCTACCTTGATGAAGATCAACAGGAACTAATTAGCGATGCAAGATTTCAAAGAATTCAAGAAAAATATGACGGGGCAAAGAAAGATTTTGATAGTCTCAAGGCATTGTTGAAGGAGGTTGGGATGGAGAGCAACCAAGTGAAAAAATGTTTTTCCCTTCATTTCCCCATCGTCGCATTTCCCCGAATTCGGAAGGAAGAAAGACAACCTTACAATGCACTGATATTGTATGAAGAGGACTGTCAGTCCTTAGAACAGTTTGAGTCTTGGTGGAAGGAACATATCATCAATCAGAAGAGAAGCAAATTTGAATTGAATTCAGAAGCTCACCTCACCCTCTTGGCCATGTAAGAGACCTCTCATCTAGTTTTATATTTTAAATAATGTTTTTCAACATGCAAGGAAAAGGCTCATCTGCATTTTGAGTAATCTTTTAAAACATTTTTTACTTGAGATAAAATTGGGACTGGGAAACTGAGGGGGAAAAAAGTTATCCCCATTCTCTTAACCTGTCAAAGACCCTTTAGGTAAAGATTAGGGGGAAAAGCAATGAAATTCGGATGAAAGATAATTTTTTTTTATTCCCTGAGCTATTTTTTTACTCGTATGCCCAAGGATAGGTATTTTGTCTACATGGTGTCCACAAAGTCGCGCCTCATAGGGAAATAGTATTTTAGTAACTTAATTTAATTAATATAATTTTAGAATTATATTGAATTATTGCAGGAAATCATGGCACTGAGCTTACACGAACGCACATAGATCATTTTGTTATGTGGACGTGAAGGGTGGTCATGAAAAAGAGTTTTAGATGAATTCAATAACAATACTCCAGGAAAATCAGTGAACCAGTCCTCAGTAGCAAGACTATTAAATAAATTCCAGACAACAGGATCAATTATTGACAAAGCACGTGCTGGTCGTCCTAGTGTTGCGGATTTCGTTCGAGAAGCGATCATTGCAAAGGTTCATGCAAGCCCGAAAAAATCCATTAGACGAACATCTGTGGAGTCCGTGATTCCAAAGAGCACCGTACACGAAGTGTTGAGTAAATGCAAATTTCATCCGTACCAACTGCAGCTCCTCCATCACCTTTCGGAAGACGATCCAGGCAGACTCGTCGAAATCTGTTCATTGTTTCTTGAAAATATTGAGGCAGATCCAACCTTATTAAAGGGTATTTTGTTTTCTGATGAAGCCAATTTTGTTGTGAACGGAGAAGTCAACAAGTAAAATAAAATCGTCGCTATTCGTCCCAGGGAAACCTCCCCTGGTATGCGTCAAGTAAGGACCAAGGCGCTGATGGAGTGTTGGTTTGGTGCAATATATGAAATGATCACATGCTCGGACCATTCGTTTTCGGTGACACCGTTAACGCAGAACGGTACTTGACTGTTAGGAGGTGAGTTAATGCCGCAACTTGACGAGCTCGGTGCGAAGCCAAAGTGGTTTATGCAAGATGGCGCACCACCACACTCTGCGTTAGCTGTCCGTCATTGGTAGGATGAAAAACCTTACAAACAGGTGGCTCGGTCGAAGAGATACTGTGGAGTGGACACCAAAATCCCCAGACATAAATCCCATGTATTTCGCTTGTCTAGGGATATTTGAAATCGCAAATTTATTCAGTGAAACTAACAGGTTTGGAACATCTCAAGCAACGAATTCGAGATGAAGTCAGCTCCATCAGCCTGAAACCTGATTTTCCGTTTACAAACATGTTGTGAGATTGGTGGGACGCATTTCGAACAATTGATGTTAGCATCCTGTCAAATGAATGTTGTTTTCTCTATGATGCGCGACTTTGTGGACACCCTGTATATTTAGTCATTTCAGGTTTAGCTGTGGTGAATTTCCTTAGCCTGGATGAACTCAGCCTGTTCTAAAATATATATATATTTTATACAGTATTGCGATGAGAAAGGCGGCTATGACAAAAGGAGCTGCTTCAGACTAGATATACGAATTTCGGAGGGTCTTGATGTCACAGATGAGTAATTTATTCCTCAATATCAACGATTAGTTTAGACTTCCTGGGCTTCTCCCGTCCAACGCTTAAGTGCCGGTATGAGCCAAAAACTTGACGGAATGGGAATTTCGTATTATTTGTCATTAATATGTATTGCGCGAAACCTCATACTTATCTTCCTTCGACATGGCAAGTTCCTTTCAACCAACCAACCAGACTCCAAAGAGACAAATGGAGGCCAAGCGATCACTTTTTATCTACAGATGAAGTGTAGACAAAACCGTAACCGTTGGTAACCCCAGTTCCCTTAAATATAAATACATTCAGGTAGCAAGCAATAGGCTAATGAAAAGGAAACTTGTTGAGCATTTACAGCGACGATCAGGTAAACGTGCATTTGGGCCACGTAAATATCTGCTGGCAATTACCTGTGGCAAGTCTTCGAAAAGCTTCAATCGGATCCTTCGGACGTAATCGAATTCATGTATATCCACCCTCCAGAATCTTTTAGTACACAAAAGTTACCCTTCTTAGTGTGTCCGTTATTTCTATTGTTACATTTAAAATGTATTTTTCTATTCAATTTTAAAGATTTGGGGCGCCTCATTATGCGACACAAGTCCTGGACAATGAGAAAACCGACTGCAAGTTTCTCACTGCGAGGGAAATGGAGATTCTCGTTTTGGAGCCGACAAAGTGCGTCATAGAAAAGGCATCAGAAGTTCAGACGATGAAGCTGGTAAAACAGAAGGCCCGTAGTATCATAACGAAATGGTTCTACGAAAGACAAGTTATCGAGCCACAGTGTATCCTCCTCCTTGGTCCCTCTGAAGAGGTTATCAAAGAATTGGAAAACACAATGCCGGAATTGATCAAGAACTCTGCGATGGCTGCATATCGCACATGGACGAACAAGTCCTTCGAGGAGAGGAGAAATATGGTTTCTTCTGTCATTCAGAGAAGCCTCACGTTCTGTACACTTTCCTTCATTGATATGATGAATAAGAATGGTGGACAACACGAAGAAAGTTCTGAAAATAAACCCTTGGCTGGCCATAGCTTGAAACTGCATAGCAGCTTGAGCGAAATAAAAAAAGAGCTAGAGAGCTTGAGTGAAATTAAACTTTTATGCAGATTCATAGAAGCTGAGCCGTCAGGTGATGATCACTACATAACATCATCCTACGAAAAAGACCCCCTGGAAATGAAGGAAATACTTAAGGGCCTCATGAGAATTTCCCTTCCCAGTTTTGTCAGTGCTGTTTTTTCGTTTGACGAATTGGAAAGAAGCAGAAAAAAGAGAGCTGCAATCGCGTGTGAAGAAAGCCAACCCCCTGAGGAAAAGTTTCCCATTCTAGAAGATACTTCAAATATAAATGTCCTGATCAACAGCCTGATGAAAATAAGAAAAGAGGTCATGGAACTAATGGAAATGAATTTGTTGTGCAGCTTCATGGAAGATGAGCAGTCTGATGAGGATGGTTGTGGAACTGTATCCTCTCATGAAGACCCCATAGACTTGAAGAAGTTACTGATGACCCTCGTAGGAATTCTTCTTCCCAGTTTCAAAAGTTCTACTATCTCTGTTCGGGCCCCTTGGTATATCGATCAATGGGAAAGAAACAGACAAGAGAGGGATGATAAGATAAGGGAACGTGAAGATTCTACGGGGGAAAGTGTGTCTGGCAAAAAAGCTGAGGAAAATGATGAATCACTCGTGCATGGGGTCTCCTCCATTGACCAAAGGAATCGCCATGGACGAAGCATGGATAGTGAGATGGTATCTAGTAAACACTCTGAGATAGAACCATCACCTAATGAAACGTCTTTAAAGTTAAAAGAACTGCAGAAAAGCATGATGAAAATTAAATTGCTCACAAGTTACTTTAATGCAGTCTTCCTCCGTCCCAAAACGAACAAAACTCACGGAGACGGGAATAAAGGAAGAAATGATGATGAAGGGGCTGATGAAGAAATGACTGGTGAAGACATCATACAAATAAATAAATCACCGATTTATCCGCTCTTCTCGAGCGGCCTAGAAGTCTCAAATAAAGAGGATGACGAAACCATTGAAGAAACTAAAAAAAAGTTATCACCCCATGAGAAAGCTTTAGAAATGAAAGAACTACTGAAAACTCTCAAAGACCTGCTGAAAAGCCTAGAAGTATCCCTTAAAAAAGGCGGAAATACCATTCCCTCCGACCATCCTCCTGGAAGGTCCGTAGATATGGGCGAACGGGAAGATGTCTCGAAAGCAGTTCCCCTAAACTCCTCAGAAACAGCGCATCATAGGAATAACCATTTCCAAAAAAGAAATTGTGAGAATTTGGGGTGTAACAGTGAATATTTTGGGTCGGAATCTATAGCTGGGAATGGATCCATAGAAATGGATGAACCCCGCTCTCAAGGGATTCCCATTTTTGAGGAAGAGTGCAGGAATGTAAGTAACACTGATAAGGGAGCAGGTGAACCGGACGAAGAAAATGATGATGAATATTCACATTTTGATGCTCTTTTGATGCGCAGCATGGATATGATGAAACCCTTTATCAGTTTCATCGAAGCTGAACTGAAGCCTACATTAGGACAGGACATGGAGCAGATTCGGTTCTCACAATGGAGTGATGAAATGAAACTCCTTCACCTCTCCATTGAAGCCCTTTTGGATAACGCCCACATAGATATAACTGCAGGCAGAGGTAATCGGCCGACTGAACATGCAGACAAAGTGTCTGAGGAACAATCCCTGCCACATAGAAACGTAAATGCGAGTATGCAGAAGTTGCTGAAGAGTCAGATGGAAGTGAAAGTACGGGACACCTTTAAAGAAATAAAGAAACTGATAGCGAAACTCACGAACGCGGTTTCGTTGAAGAAGGAGAAGAGAAATAAAGCAATTAGGGATCGTGCAGAAATCAGGAAGCTGCACATTCCGAAGCTGCAAAAATTGCAGGAAGAGGGGAAGAAATTTGATCATATTTTGGTCCTTGATTTGCATGAACTCAGCAAGAATTGCAATGATGTCTGGTTTCAAGATCTTCGTAACCTTCACTCGGATCATGCCGAAGGATATTTCTGGCTCTTTACCCCTGAAGATGAGCTTCCAGGAAAGTTATCTGCTGAGCTCAACTGTTCACACGGAAGTAAAGGTTGGAATTGTTATGGTGCTTCAATAATCATATATTCACAGCCATAAGTAATTGTGCCGTATTTCCCTAGATATTCAGAAAGGAAACTATGATTTTTTGTAAGTGGGCGGAAACTTTGAATAATTGCCTTTCATTGCTCATCCAGTAACTGTGGAGTGTCTCTTTCATCTAGCATTGAAATGACGGATATTGGCATTCATAGTTATTTCTTTAACACAGTTTACATGGGAATGGTGTATATCTTCTGGAGGATCGGAAATAAGTTAATATGCTGATTTCACTCCGTGGGAGCATTTCATATTCATTTAAAGGGGGATAAGATACATGAATCTGTTTCGGTGGGTCACGTGGAAGGATCCATAAAATGAGTACCAGTTAACTCTCTTTTAGCTGCAATCATTCAGCCATCTTCACCCTTTTGTGGGACTTGGATGTGTCTATCTCATGTCGGCATAGAGTATGCGTTGAGGAGGGAGTGGGGGATCTCTATTTCGACACTGAAGGGTTGCTGCCATGCTAATTCAAGGGAAGCTTTAGTAATCGAATGGCAAATTCTCATTATTTCGCATGCGCCATTTGGTTAACGCATGCGCACAGCATATTGGGACTTCGCTTAGACTTTTTTCATTTCAATATTGAACCATTGTAGATTCAACGTTGATGAAATTAATTTGGAATTTGGAATCAATATTAACAGGCCAATGTTGTTTCAACGTCGCCTGTGTTGGCTTCAACCATTTAGTCAATATTGATTCAATGAGAGTCAATTCCCGTAAAGCATGTGGCGCTCAGTGTTTGTGTGAAACTACCTCGTCGTTGCAAAGTTATTGGAGAGGAATTGAATTGCGACTATGGAGTGAATGACGAATGGCATGAGTTGACGTCACATTTTACTCGTACGATATGTATTGATATAATACTCGCAGTAATCCAGCAGGCCCAAACAATGAATTGGATAATTCGGAAGAGATGGAACGTCATCAGAGGAACATACACATGGTAGACTTATCCTTATCTCAAGAACGAACGTACATGACATTCGACTCGAATTTCCAATATAGTAACACTATAATGTTAGGAGCTCTCTCCGGAGAGTAGGTGGACTGTCTGGTAGGCGGAGAACGCGCCGAACTTGTGTTTCGGAGTTGAGAAAGAAGCTCCAGCCATTTCATCACGCAATATTACCTTAGTTTTCTCATTCATTCTCTTGTTTTCGTCCTTGGGAAACGTCTGCTTGTAGAGGTCCCGGTACCCTTTTCCTAAGAACGGGTTGCTTCGGGTTATTTCGCTTCAAAAGTGACTTCAATTTGAATATATTTTTTGCATTGAGAGACGTTGTGAGAGCATTCCCCGGTTAAATAATCACTTCTGGGCATCGATAACTAGAGTTTTTTGCTGAAGCACTTTTTGGAGATATGGTATATTCCCCTTCAATGATATACATGTTTAACTCCTGGGAATATATTCACAAAAGCAATGATTCGAAATGAAAATAGAAGGGTTTTCCAATTATTAATTTGAATTGTACAGTATATAACTTCTCCGCTACTTCATTACTAAAATTTTCGTGGAGGAATGGGTACTCAGAATACTTATTTATATTTCCTCTAAGCGATGCGTAAGTAACCGATACTGAGCTAAATTTTGTCTATTTTTCATTCCAGTTGTGACCAGGATTGATCGAAGTAAGCCAACTAAAGAAACAACGTGGCTCTATCAGGCGGAACAATTCATCAAGGAAACGTATCGTGATTGGGAAACTGAAAAGACAACCCACTTGGTCCCGTATGTCGAAGACAAGGAAGAATGGATAAGGAAAGTTGAGCACAATGCAGGAGAAAAAGCTGAGCGATCTCTTATTATAACCCTCTATCAGCTTGGAAAAAATAAGCGGTTACCAATGTTCATTACCTATAACCGTAATTTTTCCCACCTCATCAAAACGAAGGATGTGGGCGGTGGCTCGGAAGGCATCATGACAGGAGAACATGATGTCGTCATGATACATCGAGAGTTAGGTGCAGTCTTCATGCAAGTGAAGAATCTGGACACCAAGTCAAGTAAGGACAAACCTAGCAATGCAGTGAAAAACCGGGAAGGCATAACAAATAAGGCACGCAAGAATGCAGTTAAGAGGAATATAGATGCGGCCGAGGAACAGCTCAAGAAGGATGTGAAGAGTCTGAAAGCTGCCATTAAAGAAAGCGGTGTGGATGGCATAGACGTCTCGCTCTGTGTAATAGCACTTGTGAATGTAAAGAGAGCTGAGGTTGAAAGAAAACCAATCCATGACATTCAACCACCCATTGTCTTTCTTTGCGAAGAAGACCTCAAGTCTGTGAAATCGATCGAACAATGGTGGAATGATCACCTCCTTTCCAAGCTGCAAAGTTCCATCGATACCAGAATGTATCTGAAACTTCTGGCAATGTAAGTTGTTTCGAAGATACGTATTTACGAGGGAGATGGTAGAATGAAGTTTTCCGCACAAAATTCGATGGCACTTAAGAATGTCTGTAATCTTCAGCTTGTGTAGCGTACTCATGAGATCGAATGATTATTTTTCTCCCTCCGGAAAAAAAACCCAATGAAACTAATTCAAGCATGTAAGCCTTCGATTGCCCTATCTTGATCTTTTTTTCTGGGAAGTTCAGTGATCATCTCCAAAGCAGAAGTATGTCCTAACTCGAGTCTGACCACCAGACTCTCTCACGAAATACATATACATGTAACTTGTAAAGGTTACTACTACGTATAATGAACAACATCCATGAAACTGTCTTAGTTTCTGGGACGTACACGGAATTCAGTTGAATATCAATACTGCACATGTTTATGGATTTCCCAGAGAAACAATTTAGTCGGTATATTGAACGCATGTACATTTCAGAATATTCCAATTTCAGAATGGAATTGTTCTTAGAAAGTGTAATATGGGCTTTCACTTATGTGAAATATCGGCGCTAATACGTTGAATAACCTAATATTTAGGTTTATTATATACATGAACCCTGACATGTTACACATTTGACAGAAGTAGCCTCTGGACCTGGAAATCCCTTAAAAGGTTAACGCAGCAGTTCTCAGTTTGTGAGGCACATGAGGGACATGAGGGCATAAGGGAGGAAAGATCTCACCGAGATAAGGACTTTAACATATTCGTGTTTTTTATTACATTAATACATTTTCTAACTTTTCATCTCTCTCGCCTTTCTTGAAGGGGCGCGTCGCGCGCGCGATAACGTGGCAACTCTGATATATCTGCAAGGTATATTTTAATCATATATGCTGGATGCTATTTTAGAAACGGTACCTTTTGGATATTTGAAAGACGTTCGTTTCCGACGCACCCGTTCCAGAAAATATTTCCCAATGAATACTTGTATTTTCAGCGTAGCGAGAGGGAAGAAATGGTTCTTGTTTATTTTGTTTAGATACATCGCGCCGGTGTACGCTTCCCCGGCGCACACTGCCCGAATGACGACGCAGAAAATCAATTTCCTGACCGCAGACAAGCTGGATATGTTGGTGAACAAGCCAAAGGACTTTGCGGTGAAAGGGGCGGCTGGAACGGGGAAAACTTGGCTCCTTCAGGAAAAGATCCGGAACATCGTCATGTCCTGGTTTCAACATCAATTCATCGAAGATAAGGACGAGAAGATCCTTCTCGTCTGTCGTCAAAAGCATCTTTACTTGCATTTCTGTCGAACCCTTCCCGATCTCCTTCTAACCTCCGCCATGGCCATGCAAAACAGATGGAGACATGAAATACAGGAAGGAAACGAGAAACAAAAGGTAATGAACATTATTAAAAAGAATCTCATCATCTGCAGTGCGGACTATAGCGACATAGAAGTATGGGCGGATGAGTGTGGGGGGATGGAGAAAAAGGGCGAAACAGAATCCCTGGAGGATCTCCTGACGAGAATCTGGAATGCAACCTGGGAAATATTCCTTTTTTATCGATTTTTTTGCCATTCAGTCGCGTCTCTCCCACTTGAAAGTGGGCGGAGATGGAAGCTCAAAGCCGCCATCATGCAGCGTGTCTTCCGCACCTTTACTCCTGACATCAACGCATTACTCTTTTTGGAAGAAACCATCAGACTCATCGCATTTAAGGATGTGAATCACCCTCTACAGCTTATTGGCGAAGGATCAGTGGGTAAATCAATGCTGGGAATGAGTCATCGGCTAACTGAATGCAATGTCTTGATGAAGAAACTGCCCTCGAGGAAACAGCTCGCCGTAGTCGCGTGCGTGGAGAAGATCCTTCGGATCCGGGGGCCCCCTTTCCACCACGTCTTCGTGGACGAAGCCGAAGACTTGTGTCTTTCATTCCAAGACCACTGGTTGAGTTCGCTCCGTTCCCTCCAAAAACAAGGAGGATACTTCTGGCGGACCTACGACCCCCTTTCCACGACAGTGAGTAAGATGCCGGATTCGTTGAAAGAAGAGTTGGAATGTGCTCATTCCTTATTCACGGTGTTAAGAAATCCCGGATACGTTTTCCACTCCTGGACCACTAACCTCAAGCCCGAGAGAGACTACGATATGCAATTTCCCGGCACAGTCGACGCTATTGAAGATAATAGCGTCAACTATTGCTATTCCAGGGATGAAATATTCTCGGGTCACGATTCACAGGGCCCCAACGTGGAAAAGTTTCACGTTTCCAGTTCCATTCTCTCCGAAAAGATCCTGGAAATTCTAAGAGAGAAGTTCGGTTATGGGACACACCCCGGGGACATCGCCGTCCTCTTCGCGAACAAAGGAGATTTCAAATTCCATGGAGAGCGACTGAGAAAGGCAATGGAATTGGAGCTCCGTGTTTCTCCCACCACTCCCCGCCTCGTTGTTGAGTATGCTAATTTCTTCAAGGGCATGGAGGCCCCCATCGTGTTTTTAATCACCAATCAAAAAGCGATCAAGAGGGAAAAAGTATACATAGGAGCATCTCGAAGCACTTCCCGCCTAATACAAATCGAGATGGAGACCACGGAACAAGAGGACGAGCAAGCGAACAGGGAAGCAGAAGAGGCATACCTTAAATGCTTGCCAGCTAATACGCCCGAGGAATACAAGGAGTTTTATAAAAGTACATGGCGCGAAATTACATACATCTAGTACCCAGAATTTTGAATAGAGGGAATTAGCAATGTTTCGAAAATATGGTCTGGAGGCCAATTTAATTTAGCCTCCCCGAGTGTTGCACTCGGGAGAATCCGGACCAACTAATTTCACTTTTGGGAAATTCGTGGAATCCCGTTCATTGCGAGACAACTTTTCTTGTCCACCTTCATTAACCTCGTCCTTGGCAGCAGGGAATCGCCTTTAGTTCATGAAGAAACTTTGACACATTTCTATTCATTTTCTCTCCCGATTGCCAATATTTCATGATCCATGTCCATAGAACATTTTATTAAACGTTAAAAATGGTCAATAAAATGTGATAAAGTGTCCTGCCTTTTCTCTCTCTGTGTGTCTAACCTTTATTGTTGCGTCAAATGGAGCCGTGTAACTCATTTTCTGTGTTTCACTTCATAAGTGCCACCGATTAAGGACGAATGATCAATGAAGACACCCTGGAAAAGGAATTTCCTTTTTTTGAGTTCCAGGAACAATCATTAGATGTCCCTCAGGCGAATTACTCACTTCTTCCGCGCTGTCTTTCGTTCCTTAATTTGCTTCCTGTTACGCATTACGTAATGCATGACTCCCTCTCAATAGAGAATCATTCCGACAAGTTTGAAATATAATAGTCCTCGGGATGTGTAGGCAACGGAATCTTATTTTCAACACTTTTTCTAATAGTATTGTATTTTTTTGTATGCTCTCATCCTCCACATAGAAGTTATATTTGGAGGATATTCGGAGAAGAAGTGAGATATGGGATCGTACGAGATACTTGAATATTCCGTGGCTCCCGATCTTGCGTTTCGAGTTCGAAACTTAGATTAAGAGCTTATTTAGGCTGATCGTTTGAGCTTGAACCCAGAACGTCCCATTCGCCACTGATTCTAATTTCGAATGAATGTTTAAATCTCATCTTGCTTTATTTTTAAGGCTTGATGTATTTTCATCGGAGTTATCGAGTTGCTATATGATTGAATGAGCAAATTGCGGTGATGTATGCATCGCTGTAATAAGAGTTATGTGCGCGTGGGCATCCCCGCGGGTCAGCAATTTCGAAGATAATCCGTACACGGACATCCAACTCGATAGACGAAGGGAAAGCTATTGGAGGCTTGTGATTGGCCTAATGTCGTATTCCTCCTTAAGTCGATTGGATAATGCCCCTTTGAACTCACCATGGGCCAATTCTACCTGAAAACCGTGAGTGGTGAATATTTAACACCTTGTAATATTTGTGAAGTATGCATGTATTTACCATTGTTGCACGTTGCTGCAGGAAAAGCGGACATTTATGAAGTGGTCCTCACATACGCCACGTCGGTGCCATGCTTCCACGTGCAGACCCAGTTTAAAATCTCAATTGGAATATTCCAGCTGGACCAAATCTATAAATTCGGACCATTTCCAGCTGGAAAAGAGCTGGAAAATAGTAGGTACCAGTTGTTTATTAGCTGGAATTTTCCAACTAGAATGCAACCGATTTGAATAGCTTTTTCCGGCTGGAAATTTTCCAGTTGGAATTTCATCAAGAGGACCCTACAGCTGGAATGTAGCTACATTTACAGTTGAAAAGCAGCTGTTCCTGTAGATGGACCTCTGACAAAAATAGTCAACAAAAAGATTCTCATTCAGTTAGTGATATAACAATTAGGAGGAAATCTGGAGATGACTACATTCCAGCTGTTACCCGGTTGGTATGGGTCCGAATTTACAGCTAGAGTCCAGTTGGAAATTATAGCTGTTTCCAGCCGGGATTTTAAACTGGGGACAGACCAGCCAGGTAATTTTTGTTAATTACGTGCCTCTCGCATAAGCCACACTTGGTCCACCGATAAGGATGGCACATATAACGCGGACATTTCCGATACGACCCACGCACATGCCACCCATATGTACTTGGCCAAAACTTGTACCACGCGAACATCGGAGAGAAGACTCACTTGGCGCGGGGATAAATTACTGACTGGGTCATTCCGGTCCTCCCCGTCACCCTTCTCATTCTCCTATTCGCCTAACTTGTGGGAATCTTGAAGGAAATAAGGGTGGATTTTTGAACAGAGCATTATCCGATAATGCTGCTTTATTTCAGAGAAAATGCATTGTAAATCCGGTAAATAAAGCTGCATTATCGGAGAGTACTCTGTTCAAAAATCCACCCTAAGCTTCGGAAAAGAGATATGGGGCGTTCGTCAGAGATTTCTGCATTTTCCTTTGTCCGGCATTTCGCCATTTCTTTGATCTGGCACGAAAGTGGAATTGTTCGTTTACCTAGACCGATCCTTTGGGCTCCATTTGAGTCCCCCGTGGTTGCCGAAAATACCGCTGTAATTGCGTCGGATTCACGTCTGCTTTTGCTTTTCCATCGGTACCCCTGACATATAGTTTTCTTTTTTAAATTACACATGATTCATTTTCGATAGGAGTTGTTAGCTCATACAGAAAAATCTATTGAATCCTATACGATTTTTAAACATTAAACCTTGCAGGTTTCCTATAGGATCCTAATAGAACCCTAAAGGATTCCAATGAGAATCCTATATTATTTTTATGTTTCGAAATTCTCATAGGAACACCTAGGATCTTTTCGTAAGGGAGGGCGCGATGAGACTTGAATCGTGGAGGTCACACTCCTTCCCGAAAAGTAAAAAAAAAAAAACCAAACCATAGGCCAACTTCTCTCGAAAGGTGTGAGTTTTGACTATTTTTGGTTACAAAAGGTTGACCTTGGCCCAGTATGTCCCGACTGCTCCTCAGGTCCTCACTAATTAAGGTTGAGTGATTTTGGCTCTATCATGGATGACATGGAAATTGATTATGAAAATGCCTCTATAGGTTTTCACACTTTTACATAATAATAATATTTTCCCACGATTTCCAGGAATCCTCAACTCAGATGATCGCACTATGAAGAAAAGGGCGTTACTTGTACACCTTCCCACCTGAAGCATTGTTCATGCATCACACAGGTTCACCCCAAAATCAGTTCCGAAACGAAAACAGCGACATCACTTTAGAAAATGCCCCCGAGTATTATGGATAACATGGGTATCGCAACTATTCCCTGTTCTTTGCTAACAGGAAAATGAAACACGCAATAAAAACTGAAGCACGAAACGAAGTTACAACGAAACGTGACGAAATGACCATCAGCTTCTTTTGGTCAGCCCCTTCCCTCGTTGGTGTTGAGCACAGTAGTATATAAGAAAAATTATCGACTGAGTCCATCAAGATCTTCCATCCTACCAGAAATAACTTTCTGGCAATGTTTTTACGGAGGCGGTTTGTGGGAAAGTCTGCTCTTATTCATTTCTCCTGCTCCTTCTGTTCATGGCGACAATTTTATGCACTCAATTGAACAAAGGACAATGTCATATGCAACGCAAATTTTTATATATTCCCTTTTCCCCGTTCTTGCAAAGAGAATTCATTTAATGCCCACGGATTGTATTGTGTGATTGATGGGAACTAAGAAGGATAACTGAATACCGAAACGTTCCCACACAGTTATGAGAGACGGAACAAAGTGGAGGGAGTGGGAATACGGCGCTTTTCTCCCCCCCCCTCGCCCCTTGAAGAACCTCTCTTTGTCACTTCAGGGGAAGGAAAAAAAAATAAATTCGGAGACCTCCTACGGAACACAGCTTCATTTGGGGTAAACACGGGACAGGGAGCCACGGGAAGGGCTACAGAGCAGCATGTTTAGATTGCAGACCAAGGTCGCATGCTCCAAGTGTCTGTGTACGCATCCACCAAGCAAATGTGGATCCTAAAAGGATAGGGGGAATTTAGAACAGCTGTTGCTGCTGGATTCCGGATCCCCGAAAAAGAAATCGATCCCAAGATTCTCTCGTGGTCATCACACCTGGGTTTTACGGTGCAGACTGAAATTCTCAGAGCAATAAAAAAAATTCATTTCCACTCTTTCTTTTCCTCTTCTTCCCTGTTATGTATAATGCATAACCTACAAACACGTTTATGGATCAAAATTCAATGAACCTAATTAATTACCGGCTTGATAGCCGGTAATTAAAAACGGAATAACGTTCACCGAAGCGGAGATCGTAAACGTCGCCTTTTTTGTCGAACGCAATGAAAGAGAGCCACGTCGACCGAGCGCACAGGACAAAAATTAGATGTCGTGACAGTCATGTCGAACCGCTCGAAGGCTTACTCATTCTTGGCAATATGAAGTGATGCTCATCACGCACTAGCAAGCGGCATCGGGCATCTCTATCCCCATGCCATGCCTAGGGGAGAGGAAACCCGTCTCAATTTCTGAACCGTTAATGGTCTGTGTCTGGCCTTCAGTGGAGGAAGGGTACTCGGAGAAGGGCACCCTTGCATACATAGTTATTCACTTCCGAATCGTACAGAGAAATTGGTATTTGTCGATTTCATCCCGATGAGATCGGGGAATGCTTGGGAGTGAGATTCATTATTAAATGCTTCCCCATCCCCTCCCTCACTCGAATCTCTGCAAGCTTCAGTCGCATTTCAAAGATTAGCCAGGATAATATCAGGCTGAAATGTGTACTTGAATCATCCTTTGGATTTCTCCCAAATCGTTAATGCTATTTTTCTCCTTTCGCAAATCATGTACTCGTGAAACAGAGAAAAACTTTAAAAGACCGCATCCAGACCGCATGCCATTGCGCCTTTCCGTGCTGAACTCATCCTGCTTGGAGGAGGCAAATGTTTCCCCTTTGCCGATTGTTCGAAGAACCCCTGATTTTAACACCGACGTTTACATTCGATTTCATCGAGAGACGAGAATGTGAATGACTCATGCGGAGGCATCTCGTCCCTCTAGCATGGCATGCCGTGTTTCCCTTTCCTGTCTCTTGTCAGTTGCCATAGTGGTTGATGGGGGCCAGAAGAAGGAGCCTGTTTCTTGCGGTGACTTCCGCTGCGGTCCCACGCAGGAAATTCAGTTTGGAACATGGGCGATCGAGCTCCGAGTGTGCGGCATTGTCGTGTGGAGGGCCTCAAAA